GCTCCACAATCCCCCATACATGTGCTCGTCACCACCCATGGGAATTTCGATTCTGTTGCGCTGACAATCAACACTGACCTTCAGAGATATAAAGATAAGGATCACCAACATCTCAAAACCAAGGGAAGCATGCAAACAGAATGCACACCAGCCTACACATCCGAACCACGTGAAATCACTCCCAACCTGAAGGAGAAACAGATTTTCTCAGACAAGTAAAGACCAAGTGGAGATGCTGCTGGAAGACGGGTCTCCTAAGAAGTGCCAGAGGAAGTGAAGGTCACTGCAGAAAAGAACAATGAGACAGGCCCTACTCCAGCTGTGCTTAAACACTGGGAGTCTCCCAGAGAGGCAGGAACGGTCAATAAGTTCCGTTTTATTATCAGATATCTAGCATAGAAGTTTGATCAAAACAACAGCAACATGGGTAGGCAAGATGGTTCAGTTTGGGTGGGTGAAGGCACCAGCCACTAATCCTGGTGACCTGAGTTTGATTCCTAGGCTCTGCCTGGGGAAGGAGAGAACCGACCCTCTAACTGCCATACATACACACATACATGCGTACATACATACATGCTACATGCAGACACGCATTAAAATGACAGCACAGTGTTTTTCACAGTGGGGGGTGCATATAGAAGTGCATTTATAAAGGACATGAAGGAAAGCAATGGTTCACGGAGCAGAACAGCAGGTGCACCGTTGTCAGAAGGTCTGTCCACTGTCCATAAAGCAGTGTGCTGCTGTGCCGATAGATAGATTTACTGCAAACTCTGGGACAACCACGAAAACCAGAATTTAAAAAGCACACAGTAGGGCTGGGGAAATGGCTCCATCCGTGAACCACTTGTCATGCAAGAGGACCGGAGTCTGGATCCCAGTCCTTGCACAAAAGTCCGGCCATGCCTCTCCATGCTCAGGAGGCAGAGAGCGCGGGTTCCTGCAGCTCACAGCCAGCCTACACGAATCGGTGAGCCCCAGGCTCAGAGGGAGAGACCCTGTCCCAACACAATGCTGAGTGATTGAGGACAACACCGGACTTCTAACTTACACAGGTACACTTACACAGGACACACACACTTATACACACGTGTGCCTTCACACACATGTACACACCCATACCAACATGCACACATACATATACCACACTCATAAACAAAAGAAGCGTGTTTTATACAATAAAAAAAAATGATGCCATACAAATGTTCAGTTAGAAGCAAGGAAAGAAGAGAAAGAGTGGACAACAGCATGGGAGCCAAGACCAAGGCAGCAAGGAGAGAAGCACAAATCCTGCAGCCAAGACCAAGGCAGCAAGGAGAGAAGCACAAATCCTGCAGCCAAGACCAAGGCAGCAAGGAGAGAAGCAAAAATCCTGCAGCCAGGCCTGGGCGTCAGACGTCATGCTAAGCTACACAGACCCTGCCCCTAGCCACATGCTGCCTGCGCCCCACAGTAATATGAGATGGAGTGAGATGGGAAAGGGTGTACGGCGCTAGCACCAATCAGATGAAAGCAAGGTGGCTACCTTCCCTCCCAACAGGCCAGGCTCAGAGAAAGGACAGCACAAAGGGGGCTACAGTTAGAGGCCAGTTCTCCCAGGATGCAGAACAGCACTACACAGGCGCCTGACAGCAGCCTCACGTCTGTGCGGCGAGAACCGCGAGGAGGGCTGGGGAGATGGCCCAGTGGGTGAGAACGCCTCCTTTGCAAGCATGAGGGCCTGAGTTCAAATCTAGCACCCACAATAAGAGCCAGGTTTGACCACACACCCACCTGTGGCCCCAGCACTAGTGGGGCAGAGGGACGAGGGCTGCTGGCCACCAGCTCCAGTATCAGTGAGAGACAAGGAACAGGTGGGCAGCAGGACACCTGACGTCTCCCTCTGGCCTTGGAGTTTTATTATCAGATATCTAGGGATATCTGGGGAAGCCTGCACCCACACCGACACGCACATGTAAGTAGATTACAGTGTATGTTTAACTAACCGAAAACTATGATTTATCAAAACCTATGTTTTGATAGAGGGAAATTTACATTATTTTAATGCATTAGAAAAGATCAAAATCAGAAATCTAAATGTCTGATTTAAGAAACTAGACCAAGAAACTAAATCAAAAGAAGACTAAAATAAATCACTAAATCTAGGCAGAAAACAATAAATTGGAAAACAGAAAGTCAACACAGAAAATCAACAAAATCCAAAATTGATCTTTACTGAAAAAAAGTCCCAGGTTCTTGCCTTCATTTGGAATCAAGGGGCCAAGACAGGTAGACAGAGCCCCAGATCATTTCTTTCTTTTATTAAATCAGTTTCTACACATTCCCCAGCACCGCTGAGCAGCTATTAGGCGCCAGCTGCGGTTCTGAGTACTGGGTACTTATCCCCAAAAACAAACACGGCAAGAAGGACGTGGGGCTGGAGAGATGGCTCTACCAGGAAGAAGAACAGAGTACTGAGGAGCCGAGTTTTGACCCAGCATTTACACAAGCCAGGCCTTTGCCGAGTGTCTGTAGCATCAGCTCCAGGTGGATAGAGACTGAAGGATGCTGGGACTTGCTGGCTTCTAACTTCCCTAACAAGATGACAGCCCTAGGTTTGACGAGAGGCCCTGCTTCAAAAGAAAAGGTGGAAAGTGACAGAGAACACTCCACGCCCTCTTCTCTCATCTGAGCTCACACACATCTGCATTCACATGTATACATGTTCTCATGTGCAAAGTGAGTTGAGTAAATAAAATTTTAAGTAGACTGTGAATTACATTATAACATACATTATGTATTGGGGAAAATACCTGAAGTGGGTTGAGTCACGGGTGAGGCACTCCGCTTTCCCTTGCTTAATTATACTATTATTTTGTCCTTTCTCTTTCCTTCTGAGAGACAGCATGCACCGATGGGAGTCAGCATTACATATGTGTACCAGGGCGATCACGGAAGCAGCAGCCTCCCCTTCCTGGAAACGATGCTGTCTCCACTGAACATGGGACAATGACCATGAAGCGCACATGTGTGACTTCATTGTTGGCTCCCTGGGAGATCAGTGTAGCTCAAGGAAATGTGTGTGTGAGCACTCCACGGACAAGTGAACAGAAACGCTGGCTCCCATGCCAGCTCAGCTGAGCCTTGGCGGCCAGTTACCAAGCAAACGCAGCGGTAAGTGCTCCTGTGAAGGTGCGTCACAGACCTCACTCACAGCTAGCCAGGAAGCCCTGAGGGGGAGGGCACAGCCTCTGCCATGTGGCAGGACTCAACCAACCTGACTCAGGCCTCAAACCCAGAAGGTCATTTTCCTGCTGGCAGCTCATCCCGACTGTCAATCTGACAGCTTTAGAATTACCCGGGAGACGCATCTCTGGGCGTGTTTGTGAAAGGGGTTCCAGAGAGAGCTAAGAGAGGACAGAAGACCCACCCTGAATGGCTGGAATCTCAGACTGAACAGCAAGGAGAAAGTGAGCTGAGCACCCCAGTCATGGCTCTCTGCTTCCAGAGGGCTTCCGGAGTGTGGATACAAAGTGACCAGAAGTCTCAGGTGCTGTTGGAGAGCACAGTGACGTCATTCTGCCAACGCACACCAAAACAAAGCCTTCCAAGTCTCTTTAACTCAGGTATTTTGTCACACTGATGAGAAAAGCAACTGATACCCTAGAGGAAAAGGCATCTACCATGAACGTGGCCTCCTCCCAAGAGTGGCCACCTCTGACCAGCCATATGGACTTGAACAGCCAAACACCACAATCAAAGAGACTAGATCCTGTCAATGAATCTCGTCACTGTTTCTCAGGTAAATCCCTGACTGCCACGTGGGAAACATGGTATTTACGCAGACTTGCAGTGAAGGAATGATCACGTAGACAATCCAATGGGAAGAGGCAGCCTACAATCTACATGAAAGGAACAGCACAGACACCGGGGTGGCCGTATGACAGTGAGCAAAGGGACAAAAGCAGGGGCAAAGGTCACTCCATCACCCGCAGGAAGACACAGAGGAAATACCTCTGTGATTTCTAGCACCGTGTTTAGTAATCCTTCGTAAGCCTGCATCGCGACAAGGTAGAAAACAATCTGCCATCATCCAGATCACGTGGCTCGCGTGCCCACTGTTGAAAAAAGTTACCAAAGCCCCTGGGGAGTCTGTGTTAGCAACCCAACATGCACTGCGCATGTGCAGGGTCCCCACCGGAGCTCAGCATGCTGGGAGTTTCTCAGCGAAACTGGAAGCCGGAAACTAGGCCATGGGGGAGGAAGCCTGGTCTTTGAGAGGGGCCACACTGTAACCGATGCGCAAAAGCTGTCTCAGGGCAAACTGAGAGCTTGTGCTCACAGGTCTGGGTTGCTGAGGGAGCGCAAGAGGCGCTCTGAGAAGGTTCCACCTCACCTGGCCTGACAGAGGTGGGGTGGCGTGGGTGGCACTAACCCTGACAGCTACTCCTTGCGGAGTCCATCGCTTCACACGCCCCGGCAAGTGGAAGATGCCACCACCTCACGCGGTCCTTTCTCCAGAGGCCACTAAATCAGCCGCCGTAAGAGCATTTACTAACTGCGAAGGGAGTCACGGACACAGAAAGAAAGGAAGATGTGGTCTCACGCAGACACACCTGTACTGCGAGAACATCACGCGGGGAGTTCTTCCTCTCCGGGAAGTAGGAAGTGCACAAAGGAAAGCACAATACACAATGTACTAGCGCTACGCGGCCAGGGGTCACGGGAGGTTTTCATCTTCTTCCCTTTGATTCCTGTATCACGTTTCCTTGAATAGTGCGCATTGCTCAAATAACAGAATTGCCTATGATCTATATGTTTTTAAAGGCCTCCTTTTCAAATGAGAAGCGCTTTCAGCTCCCTACTGTGCCCTAGGAAAAGTGAACCGGCACCTGTAATTTCAGGAAAGTCTGAGTGGAGGGCTGTACCCAGCCTGCCTTCACAAGTTCAGGGAGCAAAGCAGCTCCGGCCCTTCCCTCTTGCTACAGAGCACGGCTTGCACAGCCCAGACAAGCCCTTACCTCTGCCAGGCGTGAGTGCTTGTGGACATTCTCTCCCCTCTGCACACTGGGCGCCAGCTGCTGCAGGACCCCCCTGCTGCTCGTCAGAGCTCTGGTCAGCCGAGCGAACTTGCCCCAACCTGAAGCAGGCAGAACACAGAGACAAGGTCAGCCGCACACCAACCGAGCAGTCTTTCTCACCTCATGCCCGGTGTCCCTGGAACTCCCACAGGTCCATTCTGCCCATGCCTGCAAGCAAGCCCAGCTGCTCAGCAACGCACCCGAAGGTATGGAGGTTGGGCAGCGGCGTGCTTTTCCAACACACTTGAGCTCAGTTGTGATGGCAGCCTTGAGAGACAGTAGGGCAGGTTTGGGGAACTTTATACCAATACAGAAAAGGAAGCCAGGCACCTAGATTAGGGAGAAGCATCTAGAACCCAGACTTCTCTGGCCAAGGCTCTGTCACTGGCTCACACCAGGTGACAGAGATGGCTCGCTGCCTTGGGTGACTTGCCTCAGGCTAGCCTCAACTCCCCATCCTCTGATCTTGCAAAAACTGAGCTACAGCCTGGGGTTTGTAAATGACGCAACTAGCCAGGTTTTCCTTGCCTTCCCCAAGACCTGAAAACGAATGACCACCTTCGGGGGCGGGGGGGCACTGACCAATTTTATCTGTGTGGGAAGGGAAAGGTCACGGAGGGCAGGTGTTCCTGAGAATCCAAGAAGACCAGATGGTCCTTGCTGCTCTTAAGTCCCCCGTATTCAACATTCCAACATTCAATAGGTAACATCTGAATCCAGGTCTGACCAGGTGGTGTTCCACAAAGCTTGTCCAGTGTCCATACCAGGATTTCCAAACACATGTAAGTGGGGTCCCCAACAAATAAACAATCTGCAGCTGTGATGCCGAAAGCAGGGCAGTGTGAGTCACGCCCATCCTTACGCCTCCAGAAAGTCAGTGCCTTCCACAGAAACGTCATCTTCTGAGCACCCTGGGGCTGCTTCCCAAGACTAGAATCCAGAGGACTGTGGGCCTGGGAGACTAGCTTGGGTTTTGTATAACCTTTAAAGTTTTTTCATCTTTGGTCCTTATAGCAAGAGCAGTAAATCAGCCATGGTCTCACTCCAGAAGCACCAGGTTCTAACGGATGCCGGTGGCACCACCACATGCCAGTGAGAGGCAGAACTCTGTCGCCCTCAGGCCTGGTGCACAGTGGCTGGGCTGTTGGAGGGGCCAGCGGAAGGGGCCATGAGCATCCTCCCGCAACACTTGCGTGAGCTTAGCGGGACGTGCTATGAGAACTGTGGACTGGGAGTTTAAACTCTTTCAGAGATAGGCTCGCCAGCTTAGAGCAATGGTGACACCGAGCATTGGAGGCACAGGAGTGGCATGAACCGCTGCCCGTGTGCCAACGAGCTGTGAGCCCACACACGTGGCCAGCGCGCAACACTGTGCCCTGACGTATCCTTTAGTCTTTTCCCCATCAAGAGCAGACATGAGCGTCCACAGTGGCTGCCTACGTAGCCTCCCCATACGATGTGCCTCGACTCGCCTGTCCCGAGAGCATCTCCCCATTGTGCCCAGGAAATGCACTCACCCTCCCATATCCTAACCCCAGCTCTGCAGCTCAGTCTTTGTCACATCCAGGGTGATGAGGCCATTAGTCATGTGTGTCCACTTAGACACGTGTACGGGGGTCAGAGCAGAATATGACTGCGCCAGCTTCTCCCTGAATGTTTGACAGCTCAAATAAATAAATTCAGCTCACTTTTTTGTTTCAAGACCACAGCAGGCACACAGCTGTTTGTCCACATCTGCCTTCCTGGCAGCTCCCCTTCCAGGCTCATCATTCCTTCATTTCTAGTTTTGATCTGAAGAGGCTGCCACAGGTCAGACCCACAAACTTCCTTTATCCACAAGGAAGTCAGGTAAACGTGGCTACGCCTGCCCTGTGTGGCGACTGTGAAAACCCATCAAGAGCTATACAGCTCGTACAAGCGATTGCCTAGCACGAATAAGGCTGTGGGGGAAGGGACGAAGGAAAAATGAAGGCCGCCAAAAGAGTGGTGGTGAGGTCAGCCGTGCCCGGCTGCTTTCTTCCATCAAACTGTAACTACAAGATGGGTAACTGAAAATGCTTTACCAGTGTTTTCTGTCTCTCTCTTCCCCAAGCAGATTGGCACAGTACCCAAAACAAACCAAGATCATGTCACTGTGCAAGACTGCCTTGGCGACCTCAGAGTCTCTGCAGCAAAAGCGAGAGTCAAGGGCGGGCCGGCAGGAGGGCAGGCGGGCGGGCATGCATATAAATGTGCTTGCATAGACCAGATTTACGAACCTTTGCACGAGTCGTCCTCGATCGGCTGCTTGAACGCGGTGATGTCACTGAAAGTGCAGAGGAACAGAACCACTTTATCCTGCTCATTCCGGATCGGAGCGATCTTCACAAAAAACCACACGGGTGTCCCTGCAGGGAGCACGGAGAGGGCGGTCAGCCGTTGGCATCCTCATCTGAGGGCGGGGGAATCAGGACTCGGGAACGACCAGATACGAGTATGAATTCATGGCTGAACATTCTCTCAGCGTCCCTTTTTTCTTGCTGGGATGAAAATATGGCGGGGACTTTCTTACAGTCACATAACCGTGTACGTAGGGTCTGAACCCTCATCAGCGCTCAGGAAAGACTCTAAATTAGGCCTCTGAAAACAATGTGACAGCAAAATGTCCCAGCTGAGTGGACACTGCCAGCCACCAGCACGCGCTGCCGCAGCTCAAGGCCCCAAGGTCCTCCTGCAGCTTCTGAACCAATCGGCCCCGCATGCCTGCTTGGGCAAGCATGGTCCCTCTCCCTCCAAATCCAAAACATCCCACACAACAGCAAACTGTAGACAGCCTAGAGAGGCCGCCACAGGATTCCCACCGCTCCACGCTGGACCGCACAGTGACATGAGAGCCTGGGGACGCACGCGGCGGTTTGGAGGGCTGTCTGCTGGGCTGAAGACTTCCGAGGAAGGACCCTACCCGCAAGGGTCTACAAGGTCTTTCTTTGGCTTCCAATAATAATAGTAATTAGTGAAAGAAAAGAACTGCTTCCCTATTTGTGCCAGCCGCCTCACCAAGAATAACCAATCTAACATGTGCCCAGAGGGTAAATGAGCCACAAAAGCCATAGCACCAAAGCCAGGCACCTAGTCCACGCCACCAAAGCCACGGGCACCACGTCACTGAAGTCCCAGCACCAAAGCCACCTAGTCCACGCCACCAAAGCCACGGGCACCATGTCACTGAAGTCCCAGCACCAAAGCCACCTAGTCCACGCCACCAAAGCCACGGGCACCACGTCACTGAAGTCCCAGCACCAAAGCCACCTAGTCCACGCCACCAAAGCCACGGGCACCATGTCACTGAAGCCCCAGCACCAAAGCCACCTAGTCCACGCCACCAAAGCCACGGGCACATACATTCTTCTCTATCTGTCTCCCAAAGCAGCATCTAGCATGACAGAACTTCATAACCAGCTGCCAAATTTTTCATATTTGGGATATTTTACAACTGTGATGGCTACATCTGTGAACCTGACACAACCTAGACTCCCCTGAGGAGTCTCAGTGAGGGAGTGCCTGCTTGGAGTCGGCCTGTAAACACGTCAGGGCTGTCTTAACTGCGCTAACTGCTGTGGCCCAGCCTACCGTGAGGGGCCCCTATGCAAAGGGTCCCGGACTGTCTTGAGTGTGGAGACTCAAGCTCCACACTAGCAAGTCAGTCAGTGGTGCCAAAGCATTCAGCTCTCTGCTCTCGGCCTCAGACAGGACGGGACCAGATGTGTGAAGTTCCTGCCTTGACTTCCTCACAGCAATGGATGTAAGCTGGAGTTACAGGTGAAAGAAGCACCCGACGCTGCTTTGGTCAGGGTATTGTAGCCCAGCAACAAAAATGAAATTAGAACAGTAACACTTTCAGAATGAAGTCCATAGCTATTTCACTGCGTGGATAGGCACCTCATGGCTTCCCCATTCCAGGCACTGTGCTCAGCATTTCAGAGTTTATGAGACCCAGAGCAGGCAATGCACACAATCTCAAAGGTGGGAATAGATGCCCGGGGCTGCCATAGTCACATCAGACTCTGGACAGACAGACACTGGAGTTGGTCACTCACCCTGACAATAGCCTATTGACTTGGACGTATCATCTACTCACATGTGAGTATGAATAAGCCTAACTGCAAAAGCAGCCAGAAAACAGTTCAGATAACAAAAGTCCTCCCTGCATGTTGGTTACAGAAATTCAGCTCCATGGCTAACGCTCATCTTCCTCCTCTCTGTATAATTTTAACTGCCTGATTATGGGTGCTCTGAGAAAGCAGGCAGATTATAATACCACGCAAAAAAAAAGCAGGTTTCAAAAGAAAACCCACAGTACAAAAAGAATTCGAAATCACAAAAATATGGCCTTGGAATTATCCACTCTTTTTAGAAGGTTTGTGTAACTGCACCTTCCAGGACCTCTGCAGAACTTGTGGGACCTGACGCCTTCGGCACTTTAGCAAGACAGCATGACAGCACCAAGCGCAGGTGGCCGTATTCAACTGGCAACACAGCAGACAAGTCAGGAAAACACTCTACACAGCTTTTTCAAATGGAAATCAGGAAGCACTCCTACTTTATCAAGCTAAGGTCAAACCAGAAGAGAGGAGCCTAGGAGCCCTTCTCCAGCCTCTTACGCCTTCCTGCAGGCTTCAGTCCTCTGACCTCCCCCATGCTGCCCCAACCCGCTGGGCCGCAAGCCTCAGGAGCGTTCAGTATGGCCGCACCACCAAGTCTTTATATTCCAACTGCCAAGACTTGCAAGAACCCACCGCACTGAGGTCTCTCAGGTTGGGGAACCTCCGCCATGTTTCCACAGTTGATGCTCATCATGAACCCCCACTTCTCAACAGAGTACTTTGTGCCCCTCCCCACCAGCTCTGCTCGCTGTCATTTCGAGAAATAAATGTCCCCCGATTAAACACATATCGTTCTGGTTGTCCCCTTATCTAAATAGAGAGCTGGCATCCAAAGTTCACATTACCAGCAGGGCATGGTGGGACACGCCTGAAATCCTAGCACTCAGGGAGGCAGAGGCAGGCAGATCTCTGTGAGTTCAAGGCCAGCCTGCTCTACAAAGCAAGCTCAGGATAGCCAGGGCTACCCAGAGAAACCCTATGTCTCAGGGCTTGGGGCGGGGGGTGTCGCATTGCCTTAGAGTGGTCCCCAGGGCTGGTAAGGAGGCAGGAACCTCCTTTTCCTGGTGTGCAGTTTCCTTTGGATATCTTTCCATGTGACCCCAAGGCTTTTCCTCAGACTGTTAATTTAGGAGACAAGAACTCTTCTCCATTCTGCTGCCCTATTTTATAAATGGTGGGAAGAACACAAAGGGTAGGGTGATGGCCAGTGGGAGGAGAGGCCTGTGGCTCTCTAGCTACCTGTGACAGGTGGAAAAGGCTGTGTACACGCAGGGCTGAAACCTTTCCCACAGATACAAACTGCCCCCAGGATTAGTGTCCCAGGCAGAGCACTGACATTTTCGTCTAGCTCTTAAGTCTCAGACGGTTCTGATAACGGATGGGGAATTGCCCCCGCCTAAAAAAAAAAAAAGAAAAAAAAGAAAAGCCAACCTTAACAAGTAGGGACTGCTTCTTGAACAGATCACAGCCCAGTCTGTGGACAGGAGGCAGGAGTCTCCACCTACTTTCTGCGGTTTTACCGCCCTGCCTGCCATCCCAGTGGTAGCTGTGTGCCAGGCAGTCGTCGCTGAGCGTGCAGCAAGCTGGCAGGCTGGATTCTCTAGGAGGGACAGCTGAGTTTCAGGGACGTCAGTCCCACGGCAGTCTTCCCAGACACTCGGGCCTGCCCCAGCCCCAACTATCAGCAAGAAAGCGAGTGGCACAGATCAACTTTTCACGTCTGGAAATGTTCCAGAAGGAAGAAGAGGCCTCCAGCACGGACCAGAGACTCCAACCCCATCCCTCCTCATGGCAAAGCGTTTTCATGTGGAGCAGCGTCACTCAGGCAGGCTCTTGGTAGATGAGGGGCCACAGACCTTCCAGGGTCTGAGCCCCACCACCGCGCCTCCCTCTCTGGAGGTCTTAGGGAGAGTCAGGAAGCCTTTGGCTCTTGGGTTGATCTTCCTGCTGGCAGAGGCCACATCAGACGGACTCCAGAGGCCTCAGAGCCCAGAACTGCGGCAGGACCACCCCACTGTGATTTGGGCCAGTGCACAGCAGAACCCAGACATGCACAGCAGAGACGAGCAAACATCTGACCCCCGTTCCTGTGCCGAGGAAGACGGAGGTGCTAGCACAGCAAGGCAGCAGCCCACAGTGTTGCTGGTGGAGGGGGTCCATTCCAGGCAAAAGACAGTCAACAGGAGGTGAATTCCAGGTCAGACACCGCTACTCGTTCATTCTGATCCCCATGTGCAAAGAAGCGGCATCTCCTACCACTCAGCCTGGCCTTAGCACGTCCTCAACTCTGGCAGCCAGATAACAAGACACAGGCTTTGACATACGAGGTTGACATACAAGAGGCTTCGGCCCCTCTACATTCTCCTTGGGCCTCCTAGGGACCCCACATCACCAGACCTCTGTGCACCGGGGTCACGTTCAGCAGCAGAGCAGCCCACGCCATTCTGAGCACCTCTAGGGAAGAGCTGCACCAGGCTGGGCCACACCGACAGGTCCAGAAACTGGACTGAGGAACAGCAGCCTGCCCACGAGCAGACCGTTTGCTGCAGGATAACCGCCCTGAGAGGAAGGACAGCCTGGGGTGGGAGGCCGCCACGCCTGGCCGCGGCCACTCGGCTTCTCTCAGCATCATTCCCCACTTGTAAAATAGGAGAGACCTCCCTAAGATCAAGTAAAAATAAACACATGGGTGTTTGAACTACCACCCCCCTTTCCTTCCTCCTCGCCAACCCTTCTTCTAACCCTGCAATCCTCAGGGCTGCTTGAATGATTTAAAAGAAAACCTCTCCAAGTGTCTCGCTCTGTTCTGATTATCAGAGAAATGGCCAAGCTGGGAAGCCAAGGCTTAGCCCTCCACGGAATAAAGAACGTTAAACAAAACCTAAACGATTGGGGGTGACACTGTCCGCAGATGAGACAGGAGAGCTGAGGAAGACGCCAGACCTCATGCTGAATGTATAAATGAGATGCAGTCCAGTCGGAGGCACAGTGGGGCTCACATGCTCTTCTTGAGAGCTTGGTAAGTTGAATTCAACTCGAATATCAAAATAGAGGCATAAGCGTGGCCTTAGGAGAAAAATATGACAATGACTACCTACTATGATAATGAAGCATCCATAGGACTATCTGCAAAACAACTATGAAAACCTCACCCTTGCCAGATGGTAGCACAGGCCTTTAATCTCAGCATTTGGGAGGCAGAGGCAGGCAGATCTCTGAGTCCAAGGCCAGCCTGATCTACATAG